TTCCTCAGTAAACTTCACCTACAAATGGAGGGAGATGCTTATGAATATAGCAAGAAGAGCTTGATATCGCCCTCGACAAATCTGTTTTGTTAATGTCATTTGGTGATAAAAATACAACTCTAACCAGCTTATAGATAAACGTAAACAACGTGTTTACAAAGGCTTTGTAATGAGTTCTGGCTTGCACAGCGATACTGTACACTCTGCAGAAAGTCAATATGGCTATGAAGTCAGGCTAGTCAACACAATTGACGAAAGCTTAATCTCGGGGTGTTATCAGCTGATGACATCCGGAAAGGATTAAAGTGCTGACGTAAGTGACTTGAAGAACACTATGCAGCCTCAGTGCATTTCCGGTGACGGAGTTGCCAAAGTCCAAAGGACTACATAGTCTATGATTCATTGTTTTCCACCCTCCCCCACCCTTCAAATGTCTCTCCTACAATTCCTTATGGAAGATAAACCTAGAGACTCTTCGCATATCTTCGCATAAGTTCTGACCGAGTTTCATATTTCTGAGTTCAGGCGTTCCGGAACATACCCATGAAAAAAACGGGGAGATCAGCCTCACACAACGCAAATTCAAAAATCATTTGGGAAAGATGTTATCGCAAAAGACTCTTATTGAGCAACTCCGAGAATTTCGAGAAAGAGGGCCGATATAAGGTAATCCTGGCAACTAGTGGTAAGGTAATTAGATTACTTACCACTAGTTCAGGCATTGTCTCAACCAGAAGAGTCGTTAGGCTGGTGAAGTACACATTCAGAACACCACTGTAACTTGGCAAGAATTCGGGGCGATTCCGAAATGTCAAATTTCCACATCAGTTCCCTTTGGTGCTTGCTCAAGTTTTTAGAGGTGTTTTTATGAAATATTTTCTAAAGTTCCTTCTGAATTTCCAATTCTTGCATGGCTCTTTTCCTTACATATTCATGTGCTCCAATGTCCAGCCCTAGCCAGACTAATAAGTAATCCGTTTCCATTTCCTCGCAATTTTAATAAATGAGCTGCTCATACCCCATTGTTGGAACATTTAATAACCACTCTGTCACTGCCTATTCCACGACGTTCAGCTACTTTAAACCACGGCTTTCCATCTATAGACCTATTGTATTGCATTATAATTATGTTTGAAGGATACTGTCTGAGGTCCATGTTAAGAAGTGAAAATGCCGAAGGAAATCCTGGTTTCTTCGAAGCCTTTTTGCTAGCTATCCCCTATTTATCTCTTTATTAGACACTGTGGTCTACTCTGCATGTATACGAGAGGCAGGGCATCACTTATCTGATTAGCTTTGTGGGAAGCCGCTTGAGATTCATGAGCGGCTTCCGATGGGACTCATTCCCTCCCCTCCGCCATATTCCGTTATGCAACGTTTTTATAAAACACATGTTACCTACTGAATTATGGGCTCAACTGTCATGTAGAGGCTAGTCATCTCCCTGATGGTTTGATAGTTGGTCATCATCCGCTATTTTTTTAATAGCAAGCCAGCGTTTTTTAGGCTCCAGTGATTTAACTCCCGATTGAACCCTTTTCGTCTCCTTTTCTCGCTCTTTTCGCCATTAAACATGAATTATGACGGGAAAAGGCAAAGTGTTCGGCTCTGCTTGGAAGTTTTTGAGTATTACTTTGATCCTTTTCAAAAAAAAAAGAGAATCACTGAATAGCGGGTGATTTTTCAGTCACGATATAAACATTTTTCTATTCGAACTGATAAATTGCCGATTCCAACAAAAGCATCTTGAGGCTTCATAATCAAGGAAATCAAGGAATATCAGGTTTCATGATGTTAGGAATCAGCTCACAAGAAAAGATGTTCTACTGACGTCTGAGCATTGTTTTCCTTTAAAGTGACGAGCGTTAATCAGGGCATGTCCGGAAAAGAACATTTCTTAAACATGAACTAATCCATTTCAAACCTTCGTCTGACTAATGATTGCCTCTGAATGCTTGAGCAATTTCATTCTTGGAGTTGGAAAAAAACTGGTGACAGCTTCTCTGCAAATTGATAAGTGCCTATGGAAGTAGTCGCTCTCAAAAATTGGGGAGAGTTGGAGGCTTCAAAAGGTCAGTCTATCTTTTCGTACAACCTGATAATTGTGAAACGAGCTTCGAAGTAACAAATCACACCGAGAGGTAAAACGTTAGCCTTGATAGCCGAAAACCAATGGTCCAGTCATAGGCCATTCCCTTAGTACATATTGTCCGGAACACGATTTATCCTTCAGTAGAATGCTTAGAGTTTACTGTGTTTTGCGGTAGATTTACTGAGCTATTTGGGAGATTTGTTCTACATCCGCTCTACTCGGAGTCTACAGAACGTAAAGTACTTGTGTATCTCTACAAAATCCTGTGTTAGACGGCTTGGTCTGCTCTTGAGTATTCTCATACGCTACTCCGGGCACGCATTTTTCCTGAACCTCTATTGTGACTTTTTATGTATTACCACGACTCTTCTTTTCAAGTTCACTATGGATTACCCATCACCACACTATTTCCGGAACAGTTCACACTCGTATGCTCGAGCATAGCTCCAATCAGTCCTGTATTAGGCACCTCCTTGTACTTATTCTGTCCTCGGTCATCAGATTTACGTGGAATTGGGGTTCAACAAATTAGCCAAATTTTTTTTAGCGTTATAAGAATGAGAGTATCATTAGCTTCAGGGATCGCAAACCAGTCACGTGAACAGTGAAGGAACGGATATGACTCATGAAACAGTGCCAAAGAAGTACAATGTTTGTATCTTGTGATAGAGTGGGTGTTTCGAATGTCTAACTCCAATCTACTCAAACAATTAGGTCCATGTACGAAGCACTGTCGCCAGGCTTTCTCATATTATGATTTGTGGAATTTCATTGTCGATTACACTTGGCTGTCTCGTTCCACCTAATTTATTGCCACTTATTTGAATACTCGTTCTTGAGCTGTATTTGGGAACATCCTTCTTGTTACCTCACAGATTGAGTCGATGAGGACTTTTTACTATCACCTTTTTCGCCCTTAATTCGAATTTCATAAAACTTATCATGTTTCCTGAGCTTTGAAATAATTCGATAGGATTCACCAACAGCTCTGATTTGTTTTTTATCGGTCCCTCAAATCGCCTTTTTGTTCCCACGAATGTTTCTCGTGAATTTTCCTTTTTTTTCTCAAGAAGACAAGATTTTTAATGCTTATATACTGGAGGATGCGTTGCCTAGGGAAGCTTGATTTTTGGATCCTTACTAACAGCATTTCCTTTCGAGCTCATATGGCGACATTAAACATCCTTGATATGTAGACAGAATTAAGGCACTACAGCTTTGTCGCTGCTGCTTTTATCGACTGGAAACAGTATCGGCTTCAATCTCAAGTCTTATTTCATCGTTACAATAATGTCCGACATTCCTTTTAAGATTTCTAAATGCATTTTCATAAAATTCTTGAATAGAGTGGCAATGACCTTTTGAAAATCACGTCGAGAAGTCCTCAGTAGGACCTGTAATATACTGTAGTGGGTGGGGTGGTATTTGTGAAGGTGATAGTAAAGTAGTCTCCTATCCATCTTCGTCCTCATCAGATTAGTTCCAGGATTTAGCTCGGATTGATCGTTATAAACTGCTTTCACCTATAGTGGTGTTTACGACACTACTGTGACTGTCCTGGCTTCACATTAACTGGCTACTTGGCAAATATGCTCGCGTAATCAGGGACCAATCGTTCTTACTTGGAATACACAAAATTGATAGAATTACGGTGATACGATTACGTCTATCGTTCAAGACAATCATTCAACCAATGCTTCTTGAACAAAAGACAGTTTTCGCTTCCCACCTCAGCATCCCTGACTATCGCCTGCACCGCCTGCGCCAGTTACCCTCTCGAAGCTCATCGAAGTGGGATCCCAGCAATTTTTCTCAGGTGGAACGTGCCCAAGTGCAAAAGACTTCATAATATGGCTCGATTTTTCCTTGAATGTGTCTTTTGCTATTTTCGTTTGTAATCTCTTCTTATAACACAGGTGATTCCCTGATTACATGAATTACGTGCTGACTTACCATTAGGACATTACTAATTTTAAGTCTTCATGATGCCCGTTGCTCTTTTACCTCCTGGCTTCCAGTTTTTCTAACAATAAGTCCTCCTTTTAATACCTAGCGCTCAACCGTCGCTGCTGTGCGACTCCCTTCAACTGGATTTCACCACTTGTTTCTATCTGCAGCTTCCTCTGCCCTGACCTTTACTTCGATGGGGTCTTTCTCTAGCAAGTACCGCTACCTCTTCTCTAGATTTCGTCGTGATCGTTCTCCTTGACCTTCAAACTTTAGTGCTTTTCTTTTAGAGGGGTTTGCATGCTTTCTCAGTACGCCGTATAACATATTTCTTCATCAGCTGGTTGAAGCTGCTCCTTAGGCTATCCTAGCAGTTGTGCAATTTCCCCCAGAACAGCTAAAGATGGAATATGGTCATTCTATAATATTTACCATAGCATATCACATCAATAAATTAGCCACCCGAAGTTTCACCACCGCCTTCGTTACTGTCCAGCAGTGCAATTGTTCTACTTATCTACACTACATATCCTTTTCAAAAGGAGTGATGGTCTACGCGGAGAGGCTTTGGTGCGTATTGCTCCCCATACTTAGTTGCCTAGGCTAATACATTCTGTACGTGTAGAACTCAGGACCACTTCCGCAGTTCATTCGTTCATTCGGAATCCATCGTCGATATTCAGTCCATTTTTCATCAATCTTTTGTACTTGCTTTCTTCTTCCGTGACCTCAGAGATATATTTTGACGTTTCCCTCTTATCCCTCACTGAAATTGAATATTTGATGACCTTCATGCTACTTGATGTGCCTTTGTTCCATTTCCATCCCATGAGACGCAGTCTTCAGCATTCTCTTATGTTTCTGCTCGTTCAACCACCTTGATCCTCTACATGACGCTGCTTATTCAGGGCGATCACGAGCTAGATAATTCTCAGCAAGCTCAGGAAGACGTCCGAAGACGATGACCACGTCTTTGCCGGAGGTACCGATATGTGAGCCGCACATCTTCAACGATATTCAAACAGATGCCAGACTATTCGGCGGAATGCCAATTGCCATATTTGGCATCATTACAAATAGCATCAACATCGTAGTGTTTCTCGATCAGGAAATGCGTTGCTCCTTGGTCAACCACTTTCTGCTGGTGAGTTTCCACATGAAATTGAATTTGTTTGCATTTTTTCGATATGTTTAGGGGGCTCATTCATTATACCTACTTGAAATCAAAGTCGATAAGCCAAGAGTGAGGCAGCCTTTGGAATGAGCCTTTTACTGTCTTATACCAATCACTCGAGAATTTCTTCTTAATGTCCTTTGCTCCGAAGGAAGGCCGCCATAGTCGTTCCCTCAAAGTCGAAAGACGTCAAAAGGCAACAGCGTGAAGTGGAAGCAATTATGAGGAGGAAACCCCTCCAGTTTTTCGAACCGTCACATGATTTGTAAAGGCCTGCATTCGCATGTGTACAGTAGATGTGGAACATGTCACCCATTCCCTTCATTCAACTTAAATGATACCCAGACTTTGATCGAGGAGTTGCCCGTGGCACAATTTGTACAACGTGAAGCCAATATCACTTTATTCGTCCTTATTCATGGAATAAAGTGATACTGGCTTGGGCTCGATATTATATCATAGCATTAGAACAATATGTATGTAGCGTCACATCCTCACCCAACAATGGCTTCCATATTATTAGACAAGGGCGAGATAAAATCTGATTACTGTAGAAATGTTTAATTTACTTGGGATATGACTCATCCGAGTGCATCACCAGTGATTGGCTTCTTTATCTTTGAGCTGCACTTTTCGTTCACTTGTTTCATCTTAATGATCAAAGATTCATCTAAACATTGCATAATTCGAATGCTACCCATTTATATTGCGAAGTAATTGAAGTGTTTCGGTTTTGTAAAGGATATACATCACGCCTACCAATCGCGGAATAGTCGATCAAAAGGTTATATTCGTGTGATATCAAAATCCAGCTTCCTGTCTATGCTAGAGAAGCGGAAGTTTTGGAGTCTCTATCATACGTATAGTTGTTGCTGTCTTGGCCTTCGTTGACTTTCCAATGGCTTTTCATGTGCTAGTGAGTTTGTATAAGGGCTACATTGAGGAACTTTTTCATTTTTTGTTAAAAATTTGGGTGGTCGGCAAGATTCTTCGCTTTAGCTGTTTTTCTTGACCGAGAACCCGGTTTTTGCACTATGTGACTTCAAAATTTGAAAACAAAAACGTCGTAGCCTTGGCAAAGTATATTGATAGCCATTAGAGGTGATAATCCTTCCGAAAGGGCATTGCGGAATTAGAACGCTAAATTGAGCAGGCGGGGAGAAAAAATACGAGAATGACGTACTGTCTGTGCGACGCTTTGAAGCTAATCCTAAGTGCTCGCCTTCAGATCAAACAGACGAAATTTGGAGGCTCTCAAAGTATCGTGCTGAGTCACCTACATGTAATTAATAATGAAAAAAACGTCCTTTTAATGTATCTTTCTTAAAATATCAGATCAAAACGTGCCACAGCTCATGGCACAAAAGTATATACCACTTCTAGAAACGATAACGAACTTTTTTCTAAAAGGCATAGTAAACGAATTTGGATGACATACGACAACCCTTCAAAGATTCTGGAGTTGTGAGGAAGAACGAGTTCCTTCAAGGGATCGTTATATTTCTGAGTCTTATTCGAAAACTGTCTAATTGTAATGTACTACATGCACCATTATCTGCTGGTCGGGCAATAATTTCGGAGTCCTAGTGTGACGAAATGGGAATAATAGAAAAAGAAACTGCAAGAGCGACGGTAGACGAGAACAAGGAGGCTTCACTCACAGCTAATGTTGGCAAAAGTTCTAAAGATCTCATGGGGTTCTAATTTCAACTGCAAACTGGTACTAGACTTCCGTAGGATGCTTTAGTTCCAGCATAGTCTTCCATGAATACACGGAGCAGGCCGTTCTTTTGATTTTCCTAGTGATATTGGACAAGTAAGCGCCTTACCCGATTCGATGCTGTTGGAAAGGGCAATCATGCATCGAAACAGTGTAAAGATATTTGACTATAGTGGATGTCAGTAACGTAAAGAGTTGCTTGTCAAAGTTTATCTCGAACGATCAAAACTGATGTTAACTGCTTTTTCGATATGAAAAGAGTCTGCATGAAGTAATATCCCGCGATTAGTTTGCATTAGATATCTAATCCTGTCATAAATCCTGGCTATCGACACAGGATGGATATTGGCTTGAAGAGTCACTTTACTCTGCTAGCTCTGATGGCCACTGAACAGGGAAGCTTTTCGCGTTAACGATGGCTGAGAGCCCCCTCTGTGAATAGGGTAACTATCACGGATGAACTTAATAAGAAAACTGGAAAATAGGTCGACTCCTTTATAATTCAGTCGTCTGATGTGGAAATTCGCTATGAATACCTGTTTGTATACGCTCTCGACATAAACCGCTGCTTCATCTCCTCGGGAGAAAGGTAGTGCGAAAGAGCGGATGTAAATGGAGATGTAGAAAAAAGAGATTAGTGATTTTCTACTTCACTCCAATCAGCCGATGGATAGAACATTCGATAGGCAGAAACCGAAAGCCCACCAGATTGGTTCTGAAGGTACATGGAGACAGCACTGGTCACTAGCCCCATCATGCGGGATTGGGATATCTTATTGTTAGTTCTAAAAATTGTTTTCAATTTTCCGTTCCAAAGGTGTCCTGCGATGTGGCATCAAATTAATTGATAATATTGCTTTTCCTTTTTCCATGGTCATTTGGGTACTTTATCCAGCCGATTTTTTTCATTTTTTTGAACTTTTTATTTATCATCAACAAGGTATCTCCGAAATCAATAATGGTAACTTCAGGTTCTATCAGTATCCGATTTGTTGCTGCTACTGTGCAACTTCTTCATGCTGATCTTCCCAGTGATTGCGTCCATGAGCAATTCTGTTACGCTTCATGACTCCTTTCCATTGATATTATGGTAAGCCTCCCATATCATTCACGTTTTCTTTTCATAGGTGGTAAACTTGATTTTGATTAATTTTTTGGTTTGAAAAGGCAATTATTGTAAAAATAATTGGAAGTCATGTCAAGGTGAACAACATTATCCCTTATGCTCTTTTCATAACTGTGTTTCAGTGACACGGTTGACACTCGGTGATTCCGACTACCAGAGAGTAAGAATAAGCTCGAGAAAAGAGGAGAAACGATAATAAAATAAAATAAAATGTGACGATATAAGGGAGTAAATGATAATAAAATGTGACGAAATAAGAAAAGTACACGAGAAACTGCAAGAGCAGCGGTAAACGAGGAGGAGGAGGGGGCTTCACTCACATCTAATGTTGACAAAAGTTTTGAGGATCTTATGGAGTTCTAATTTCAATTGTTAACTGATACTAGACATCTGTAGGATGGTTTAGTTTCAACGTTATTATCCATGAGTTTACGGAGCGAACCGTCTTTTTGACTTTTCTGGTAATTTTGGTTATGTAAACGCCTTACCCGATGCGCTGCTTTTGCAGTTTCTCGTGTACTTCTCTTATTTCGTCACATTTAATTATCGGTAGTGTAAGGGATAAGAGTACGGTCCCCGGAAAGGACAAGTACGGGTTCGAGTCCCGTCCGAGACTGGAGTTTTGCCCACAATTCGCCAACCTTGTGAGACTTTCGCTTCGCGTACTGCTGCGATATAACAGCAGTTAACAAAACATCAAGCCAAAACAGGATAATAAAATAATAATAGTAGTAATAATAAAATAATAATAGTAGTACTTTGTAGTCTTCGTAGGCCCTAGAGATCTCAAAATCATGTCCCGACTATGTCGTGCTGCATCGCAAGGACCTTGTGATCATAAGAGCAGGAAACAACACTTGCGTGTATTGGAAGATTTCTCTTCCGAGGTGGAGTAGGATCCCTGTAACTCCGTCATTACTGAGACTGCTGGTTGGATAAACAAATCTTCCTCTTATTCCCACAAAAGTCTAGTTCCATGTGTGTTTTTCCCAATTGTTGTTCTTTTCCCAACAGCCGATGTTGGCTGCATATTGAATACTTGTTGATGTTTGTGATCATCAGTAGAAGTACTCAACCAGCCAACATTTCAGAGGTTTGCTGGGCACAGGCATTCTGACTGATCTGGGATGTTACGCTTGCTTTAGATGGATGTAGCTCTATTCACTTCAAAATAATCACCCTCACAACCAAATGATTCGAATCACCAGTCGAGTAACAACCAAACCGGTTTATATAATGTTTACTAACAAAACCAATCACTTATTGGAAATATAAGGCTATCACCTGCTAACTGCTATGAATGCTTCGGAGAATCATTAAAGAAGATAAACTATCGGTTTTCAGGTACGCTTACCCTATTGGCCTAAGCACACAGACTTGTGGCGTCTACCTGACTGTGCTTGTGTCTGTGCACCGGTTAGTTTTCTTTTATTTTTAGAGAACTTCACAACTTCATCGACTAAAGAGGAGGCGGAAGATTCTAAAGCATCTTTTAGTGTAAACACTGAGCTTCAAATCAGATCCTTCAAGTCTCTGAGAACTACCCGTAGCTTCTGAACTAAGGTTTTTCTTTCATGTAGTCTTGACACCACCCGGCTGGATAATCCTCATTGAGAGGGAATACTCAGTGAAGCACATTTGTAGGTGTTTGCTATGTTGTATGTTCTAGTACTATCACCGAACTCTTGAGAGTATTACGAAAGGATTAGTCTCGTTGAAGCTATTAGAAGTCACGTGGTGTTAGAAACAAAGTTCCCTAATGTTTCCGCAACGTCAGCTTTGCGTAAATGTCCGTCCATGTATCCGCGAAGACTGAGAGCGTGACGAAATGAAGAAAGCCTTCGCTGAAGCGCTCGATACGGATTAGTTTGTTAGACGCATTGGATATCCCTTGGAAGCATCCACGAGTGCTCTATCAAACGTACGTACGGCCCAGTAACCCTCATACATTGGGACCTACTAGTAGAGTGTTTAGAATGGTATTCTAAGCGTTTTCTTCAGCACTTACGGGATATTTGCTTTTTCAGATATCTAGGTGTATGTCATCCATTTCGAGCCAAACGATGGGTCAGCGGTCGACCGGTGAAGACTGCCATCATAGGTAAGTAATTGGCTCTCCTTACATTAGAAGATGATACCATCCAGGGTGATGTGCGGCACTCTCCACGAAGCTTTAGCGCATCACGATAAGCATTGGATAAATAGTCCTACACAATAATTAGGTAGAAAAGATTTGAGATTCCGTTTCAATCTTCTTCATATCACCCTCTGTTCCCCTTTACTTAGATTCTAAATGCTCTCAGGATGGGCAAATTTGAGATTTATTAATGAGCTGGGAACATGGTGGAACAACAGAAAGATGGAATTAGCTTCAGAATCTATATGCTATAAAGTAAAGGTTACGTTTGGTCCCATAGACCCAGCTACCCTACTTTCCGGTTATATTATTCAACCAACCAACCATGAAAGTCTTTAGTTTCCGGATGTGGTAATTACTAGTTCCAATAGTTACCTAAATAGGTTCTGGGTGTGAAGTAACAACATAGTTTTGAGATATGTAACAGCTCGACCAGCCCATTCCTTTACAGCTTTCCATTCCCTATAATGAATTTCCTATCATAGATTTAATTGTGCTGAGAAAATGATGGTCTTAATATTTCCACAATATTGCAAGTTGTGAATTTCAGGTTCAATTATATTCAGTATTCTAATCAATATACACACTTGGTTAGAGTTAGACATAACAAAGTGCCTTTCAAAAGATTTTGGCCAAACAGTCAGGTGAGAATCGCGATATCTTTCTTGTTTTTTTTATTCTTGAGTTCTATTTCTGAGCAAGACAAAGATACACTCAACAAGATTCGAAGGATAAAAGCGAAGCTAGAAAAAATGCCATTTTTACACCCGAGGTTTTGAATTCATTATAATGGAATCTCTCTGGGATCTCTCGAGCTAAAATTCAAGAGGATTGAGCTCATATTTACGTCTCCTTACATATTTTCTTCCATTGCGTTTTGCTTTTTCTTCCATATTTGAATGTTGCCGCTGGTAAATAAAGCCCGCTAAAAAAGCTAAAAAATGTTAACTAGAGGCTTTGAGCAGTAGGACAAGGTCACCACGGATTTCAACTTGCTCTCTAAAACCATAACATTCTTTCTTCTACTGATTCCATGCCATGTAGTGTCTGTACTAGCTAGCGTAGCTCTACAGCTAGTAGGACAGTGGTAAATGTTTTGTTCTGTAAGTGAGATCCACAGGTTCATAAGTTTTTGTATTGCCAAGTATACTATCCAGAAAATATAACACAGAGTAGATTTCCCGAGTAAACAGAGAATGTAATCCTTAAGAAGATGGGTTTAGGACTGTTAAGGGGGTAAATTATAATTTCTCTGTAACCTTGCCATTTTCTCGGTATACTCATCTCACAGTTCTCGCCTGAATTACTATTCATCAATTTCACTTTCCTTCTCACCGCTAATACCTATGTAATCTACATAATATATCCGCAGTACTGCTATCACTGGCCCTTTTCCTTACCCCAGTAGTGTGGCGTAAGNAAGATCAACTCATTAGTCAAAAAATCAATTCACTCTCGTGTATGTTCAAGCGTTCTACTTTTTCAGAAGTATCACTCTGACTCCATTGAAATCTGATGAGACTTACAATATTGTGACCAAATGCATACTCTACACTCTGGTGATGTTCGTCATTCCGTTCATCACGTTGATCAGCGTCAATTCGCGGATCATTGTCGCACTGAAGCAGAGCACTCGGATGCGGAATCGAATGCCTTCGTCAGCCAAAAATACTCAATCGTGAGCAAATTCCATAACTTCTAGAGTACGTGCCCTCAACGCCCCTTGAACGAAACATTCTCGAAGGATCGAACGCATTGGATTGAAGGAAGCTATCGAAAAAATAAGCTTCCAACATGAGCTGTGCTGACAGTATAAGTCTTCAAAACGCATTGTTTGACCGTTATAATTTTTCACTCATCGAAATCCGGTGTTTTTCGAGTGGGTGGGATGGGTTAGTTTCCTGCGTTAGGGTTAATTTGCAAAAGACTCCCGCCAATCAACTTCACTGTCACTATTGAAACATGTAGCTTAGGAGATCATGGCCTCGACTATCAGTTCAGCACCTCGGTTAAACACAAATTCTCAGATTTAGAGACCTTTTCCTGCAGTCTCAACCATTACAAGCAATAGCTGAGATCGTTTTTCAATTAGCTATTAGTCTAACTTGTTCAGGTTCACAAATCATGCCTTCATCATTAATCTTTATTAGATTTACCTGCCCTTCATAATGAGCTCATTGAAACACATAATGCCCCGAAATAAGGTTTATTCCAGACGAATGATCAAAAACTTCCGTCTCTTGAAGAATGCCAAGTACTCCGAACTTTTTGGCAAATTCGGACGGCTAACCTTGAAGTAAGTCTTCACATTTCTAATTTTCCATTTNATTTTTTTGGATATGAGTTGCGCCTTATTCATGCAGTCAAGACATTTAGACTACTGAGCTGCTCAATTCATCAATTTGCAAGTTGTTTGTGACAAAGTTGTTTTTTCGTACATACTTTATTCGTGAGATCATTTTCTGACTATTATAATTATCGGGGCAAAGATGATGTAGTGGCAAATGGCCAACTAACATACATGGATGACCCCGGGATCGAACCCCGAACCGATACTCGCCTAGACCTACAAAATCTTCCATCCCTCACCTGTTGGTTTCCTGGCAACAAACTCAACAGACTCGTCTGGGAAAACGAAAGCACTGCTTTGTACGACGGCTGGCCACCGCATTCACTGTATAGGCAAGATAAGCAGACAAAATGCCCCTTCGATTCAAATGGAAGTCGATTGCGGGGGCGCATCCCACAGGCGTGATCGCCCGAAGACTATTCTTATAGTTTTATGATCGTTGAAAAAGTTTCTGAGTTCATATCCACATACTAGATTAACTGCCTCGGCAATGAGTCAAGCTTCATGATTGGGTTGCTCATAATCAGAATATCTTTAAAACAGTTTAAGGGAAAGTAATTATCAGCATGGATACTCCCCGACAGAGCGAAGTCCTGAAGTGCTATGAGGATCAGTGACTGACGGAAGAGGGATAGGTGTTAGACCTTAGACTTGATGGGTAGCGCCTAAGAATTCAAGAACGAATTCAAAAACGACCACATAGCGCAAGCAAGCGTCTCAGGAAACAAGTTTCTCTAGCTGAGGCGATTTCATAAAGATGCAGCTATATTGTGTAACGATGTGATTGCAGTCCACTAAAAGCACCCGGTCTGTCGAGAGGTGGTTCTGTGCGGGATCGCAGTGTCACTATGATGTTGCTCGCTATCGTCGGTATATTTCTCTGCTGCAACTGCCTGGCATTTTGTAATAATATCTACGAAATTGTACGTGATGCCAGTTCGCATAATGCCAACAACGCGACGCAGATCGCTCCAGGCAAATACGTGAGTTCGAACTTTTTTAACAAAATCGGGAGCCCGCCCAAAGGTATATAACAGTTTTACCCACAAGAAAACGAATTTAGCCTATCTCAAAAAAGCCAACATTAGGGTTACCAAGAAATCGAGGAGGGGTCACCCTCATGCGTTTTCTGCGTACCTTTTGAAAAATAGAACTAGTATGAGACCTACATTCTTTAGACCGATGAGACCGATGCACTTCTTATAGGTGAACCAAACGGAGGCTGCTGATCAGAATCAAGACGTGTTCGACTTTTCCGTAGAGCTCAGCAATATTCTTATATCGCTCAATTCCTCGTCGTCAGCTTTCGTCTACCTCATTTTCAGTTCGAAATACCGATCAATTGTTAAACATTGGCTTGGACTGGAAGTGAGAAAGAAGGTCAGTTTGATCTTGGAACTTTTTCTTTCGAATAGTTCATTTGTTGCGCTATTTTCCCTTTCGGCTTGTTAATCCATACACACTTCCTCATTGCTCCCTCAATTTCTTACCATTTTCACTTCGGCGAGTGGGTTTGGAATTTTTACAATTCGGTTTTGAATGACACATAAGTCCATTGAGTAAATTACATGAGAGTTTTAACCCATTGCCGCCCGCCGGCGGGCCACACCATATCGTGCTCCTGTAGTATTTATAATATTTATCAAGTGTTCTTATAGCTTTTTTCATTTTTTCAAGTATCAGCTGAGCTCACAATCTTCTGGAGCGGTCGCCAAGGGTTAAAAAGGTTTTGCGATGACTTATCAAGTAAGCAAGCTGTGCAGAGCACACTCAAGGGAAATCTCGTTGTCGGGAAAAGTTGAGAGGATGAATCCATCCAATCTTCTTGAGCAAACCTCCTCTGTTAAATTTCCTTTTCCTAGAACGAAGGGCTGAATATATTCTCAGAATATAATCGCACAAGAAATTCTGGAAACTTGATAGATGCAATCAAACTGCTACATCTACTCATATCAGCATTGCTCAGATGAAAATTTGATGAAACTACGCCTAGCTTTTACCATCGCTTTTAGATTAATGGTGTCGCCATCACAACAGCTATCGTGGCACAGAGAGCACTGGAATTGTCGTTTTTGCCCGACGAAGCTGAAGGTCAGTTTTGATAGATACGTTACTCTTTCTAGAGGCATTCGATGAACTATGTTCACACAGCATACTCTTCTATTTGGGTAGATACAGGTTCACAAGGATCATTTTTGACCTCTTTATTCTTTTTTATGAGTTAGAATGATCTCACAAGGACCTTTATTGATATGGCATTTTATTTGGAGACAAAAACAAAAAATATCAGCCAGGTTAAGCAAATTTTGAGCACCGGTCTTCTTGATCCATAGTGCAAGGTGGCTCAGAAATGTACTGACCCATGTATACCATCCTATTTTCCTTTGTCGGAGTGACAACAAAACTATTTTCCATGTTGACAACTTTACACTACGTCTTTTTTTCTGACACCTGGGCTCTATGGAGGTTGGGGAGACATATTCAACCTAATATGTCCATGTGGTTCATTACTACGAAAATCCGTCTCATGTTTGGAAAAATTACTACCCAAAATCATTCCTTTCCAAAAGCGTTCTGCAGAAAAGCTGTCAAATAATGCTAAGTGATCAGGGGAACGATTCCTACCGTCATTATGTCCTAGGATAGCTGAAGGGAGTCTAAGTAGAGCTAACAATAAGACAAACCTCAATCTCCTTGTTTCAAGCAAGGAGCAGTCGACTGCAGCATAGCTTTTTACGAATTTGGAAACATCTTCAAGAGGATAGAAATCGCGGAACTCGGTCATGCTATCAGTCCTTGGAATCTTGAACAGAGCATTCAACTTGAAGTACATCTCTATCCGCTCTGAAAAATATTGTGATTGTGATAAGCCTGTTCATTGAGAAATACTAGTAAATTCTTTCTGCTGCGAAGACCATATTCGCTTCAGCCTCATCGCTTTTGCCTTCAAAAGGTTCTTCAAAAATGAGGGCAAAACAAAATCTCCTGAAAAACAATGTTTCAGCCCGAAATGCTACAACTCGAAGACCACCGCGAAAAAGGCTTATGCGTGGAATCACGGTCGACACGGATGCGCCCCCTCGAACCCCTAAGTTACTAACACCTTCGGATGTTAGCGACAATGACGGAGCCGGTGAGTCAATTTTGAAAATATCAGATGAAATTCAATTTCATTAAATTCCTCAAATAATAAATTCATCACACCATTTCAACGGTGGAAGCATTTATTACACTAGTACTTTCGAAAGTATTTATTAGAGAGCAGACCGCGTAATGGCTAAGGATATATTCGAAAGGAGCTTAGATAGCGTGGAAATGATGATCATGATCTCACATAGCTTTGAAACCATCCAGTAGGCTAACACATTGCTTCTCTGTTTTCAAGAGCATTGAAGAGTCAACTCCTGGAATACACTTTGGAAGCCGAAAAAAGAGAAACCCAGAAGAGGGGGCAGTCAGAGTCTGGTATTCTCCTTCTATTTTTTAGTGCTACTATCGTTCTAGACTTCAATAAACGGAACAAGCAAGAGCTTCGACCTATCCTTTGGATGTAGCAGACATGGGAACTCACCCACGTCTGCTACAACCAAAGCTTATGTTGCAGAATATCACGATACTCCATATTTAATAAGCCTCTTACTACTGGGATCAGCATACCCCGGAGTCCGCTATGACTCGAGAATGAGAACCTGGTCTGAGACCTCAGTTTTTCAGAAACTGCACAACGAGCAAACTCAAGACGTCGATTAATCCGGTTCGAGTCGCAATAACATTCAGCATGACCACTCAGATGAATCCATACGAAAAGATATTTGTCTGTCTCTATGTTCATTTTTCGTGTGTCTAATGTATCAAATGTATATGGACAAATCACAATTATTGGTTTTTTTTATTATCGCTATGTGTCATATGTATGCCTACTATACCGATAAGAATCTTTCGCATATCCTTTCAAGTTGAAATCCTGCTTCCTCTCGAGCTTCCCTTTAGGTTACACTATTTGTCTTAAGATATAATGAGTGAACTATGGCATTGTGTCAATGCAAGTTAATTCGCAGCGATTCGGAATACGTCGCGGGTATGGAAAAAAAATCTCAGTGGTTTCTTACTGATCTCTTCATGGCAACCAACTTGTTGTTTCCTTTACAGAGAAACACTGATAATGCTTCTAGTCCTGCTCTGAGAATCTTTATTCTGCTGATTAATAAGCTACCCGATAATCATGATTGTATCAATAAATAAATAAATAAATTTGATAGCATTTGACAGTAATCGACTGTTCCTGGAGTTCAAAAAAAAGCATGACTTCAACTCTTCATCAAATAGCAAGTATTCGTCGACGGCAGTTTGTTCACGAAAGTACTAGAAAAGGCTATTAGTACTCTCTCGAAAAACAGGTCATCTTACTTTATATTCTGCGCTACCAAAATTTCCAACAACTACCTGCTCGACTGTACTTTTCTGCCAGCATTCGTTCCGACTAATCGATGTTTGGTGTTATAAGCACGACGTCGTCTGCAAAGCGGAGGTTATGTAAGAAGCGGCCGTTGACCTTACCATGTCATCCCATTCAAAATGACGGACGATGTTCTGGAGGGGGGCACTGAAAATTTGGGGAAACGGTATCGCCCTAATTCCTCTGCTCACGTTGACAAAGGCTCCTTATAGGATAGCGAAACTCTGGTCGTGAAGTTGCCGTAGAGCTCACGAGACATCCTGATGTATTTAATAGAAGCACCCTAGTTGCCTAGAGCTTCGAATACCGATTTTATGCCGACATTATAAGAGGCCTTGTTCAAATCGATGAACGTCAGACATAACGGCATCTATATTCTCGCGATACTTCAATAAGTCTTGCAAGAGTAAGGATGTAATCGATTGTACTGAAACCTCTCCGAAACTCTGCTTGCTAGCACGGCTGTCCTTCATGTAATATTCTGCCAATCTTGTTAAGGATGACTACAGTGCCGAAAACCGAAGTAGCGCTTTTCCATTTTGCCTCAGATTTTAGGTAGGCAGGTAGGCGTGGCTGTCGGAAAGATTCGAGTAGAAGTCGTAGATGATTTTCCCCACTGCCCACGGAGATGCAGTGGCTGCTTCGAGAGGAAGACAAAGGAAAGTCAACTTGGCCTTGTAATTGGCGAAACTCCTTCGGGCTTTGCGAAAGCTCCTGCTGGCCTTGCCGACTTTATCTATAACTGCTGCAAATCTCATTTTCGGAAATTCCATTACTTCTCTGCATTGCTTCGCAAGTTCGAACGTTTTCTGATGATTGTCTGTAGCCAGTGCGATCCCACGCTTGCTTGTCAGCTCAAGAGTTTTCGAAAAGGAAGTTCGTTTGTTACTCGTAAACTCCCTGTATTTCTAGCGCTATCGTGAATATGTTCGAAGAGCCGGTTGTATTCATCATCGATGTTGTTGATAACGAACTCGATATGAGCAGTTCTTCTGAGGCTAATCCTGGCGTTGAAATCACCGGCTATGACTTTGATATGAAAAGGAAAAGCTTCTATCTTCTCCAGATCCATATGAAATGTTCCCAGTTCCTCTTCTTCGTAGCTTAATTTAGGTGCGTAGGCACTAAGGATTGTCAAAGCAGGGTTGAGCAGTATCTTCTCAGTCACAAGCGTCCAATTCGGTTTGTCAAGCTTTCGTACGAATCTAATTCATGGACAAGTGCGCAATGATGAAGACGCTACGACTCTTCGGTCTCACATTTTCGGTCCCAAACATCGATCAGGAACAGTTCTCCAGTCTCAAATACGAGGTGCACCAAGGAAAGCGTTCCCGGCTCGGTCAGTCCGATGATCTTCCTAGTTTGTATAACCAGATCTTCGATACAGCTTTCGATGATCGTAAGTGCAGATCGCTGTCTTAGTCCATCTCCTTTTGCGCCATTTGCTTTGGCCCTAAGATTCTGGCTTCCTAGCGGCCCTACCCAACCCCGCCGTATTGGAGGTCGATTCAGGTTCAGGGAATGAGGCCCATTCATATCACTGCTTATGGATACCCGCGAGTAGCTTCAACATGAAGTATTGGTTGAATCCCGGTAGGTAACCAGGCTATCCCCGAGTGGCCGAAGAGCTTGATTTTGGAGGCAACCCAAATCGCCTCCTAGATACTTCCCATTTACTCGCACGCAAGCTTTAAAGTGCTCTAGTTTAAGCTGAATCGGCTCCAAACATCCTATGAATTCGTCTGTACGTTCAGTTATGTCGTTATTCGTGTCGCTCGCCCGGCTTACGCTGGACCCTTCTCTTTTTGTGGAGGAGTTGGAATGCAATACTTTCGTCAGTCATTCCACTTTTTTTTCCGGCCTATTTTGATGAGTAGTGCTAGCCCCATATCGAAGTAGTACAATTCGGCACCGATCAATAGCAGTTGACCACCATCAGTTCTGTACAGCTTACCCCGCCAAATCTGATCAACTTCAGTGATGGGAAACGATTGAGTACAGTACATTCGGAGGAAAGATGTTATGGATAACAGACAGTTATATGACAGATGAATATAATTAGATACAACAATAACAACATTTCCACAGCAAAAATGGTACAGCATGTTAGCGCATCATGTTCTAATTGAGCAAGACTGAAGAACCGGTGTATAATTTCCAAAGGTTCTGAATCAAATCTCGACTTTAGAATTCGGCTCCTCCCGATTTCATACCTTCCTATGTATCGTCTACACATGCTAGCTTCTGTTTACTTTTTTATTCATCTTCAGAATATTTCTGAGCAGGTCTGCCAAGGTTCGCTCCTGGATCAGCCGTTTTTGGTGCCCGGTTATTCTGTCATGGATGGTTTTGTTATCTAATTTGGTAGTTCCTGCACGTATTTTCATTTGGCTTGGCCACGAAATTTGTATGCTCAAGTGGCGAGGAGTTCAGCTTAATTCATGTGGGCTTAAATAATTTGCCCCGTTCCATACTGCTCATTTTCACACGAACGGTGCTCATTTAAATACGCTGATTGTAGGTGGATTGGACTCTGTTGGCTGGTATCGTAGTGCCCGCTGTGATCTACAATTTCTGGGAATGACAAAGAAACCAGCGATTATCACTGAGCTGACCGAAAGCAATCGTCAAAAACGTTTGCGCATCTGCAAGAGCTGCTCTTCCGATGTCATAAACATGGAATTCATGAAAACTTTCATAGCTATGAATGGCGGGGAGTTTATGGAATCTGGCACTTTGAGCTTTCGGCGATAACACGGCGGTTAGAGCCAAGATCTACAACGGAAGGAGAGAATGAGGAAGGCAAGATCATCTTCCAAATTCCCGAAGAATTTGAGTGAAATGACGAAGCAGCATCTAGAGGCTGAAGAAGAACAGTGGAACGCATCTTTTGGAGAGAATCGTGGAGAATCCGTAAGATTTGAAGGATTTTTTGAACAAGAAATTTTCAAAGAACCATGATTTTCTCTCATTGAAGAATTATTGCACCAACATCCAAGGAGCAATACACAGTGGTTCGTCTTTGCTACAGGCGCAACCAGCGCATTTACAGTGATCGTCAGTTGTGCACTGATCTCCCATTGTATAAATCAGTTCGCCGATAAAGTTTCCTTTGAAATTCAATATTCCAGAGTAAATTCTTCAAGAGGAGAGTCTGTTTGTTTTGCTTGTTCTTACCCAGGGTTGTATTCGCATACTGCAAGTGTAGAGGCCCCATTCCAACAGGATAAAATTCCACAACCAATTTGGTTACTCGATTGCCAAGATAACTAGAGTGACAGAAGTAACAACTTTCCTGATAACAGTGTTCTGAAGCTCCTGATCTCATCTGGGCGTATTCCTATATTACGTTCTGAATGAAAACTTCAATATTGGGAACGTTAACGTGAGGTGCATCATATTTCTGCAATTCCTCAAACCAGGCATCGACACTCTAAAATGAGGTCGGTAGTGTTCTCCAAAGAAGATGCAACAGGGATAAAACTATAACCTGTGCTGCCGCTTCTATTTTGTTGATATACAATTGGTTACATTATAACCCCAATGATCAGTTTGCGCAACAGAGTTGTACTCCAGCGAGCAATCCTTCGCCCACTCTACTGCATTTGCTACAATGTCGCAATCGTAGCTTTGAAACAATTCTTTGCGAACGTTAAAACGATCGTTTAATTTGTTTGGTAAAAATGGGTAGGACACGAAGATAGCCCTCGTTCCAAAGACTGGGTTCATCCAAATCATTATAATCAAAGCAAGTTACAACAGAATCAAACCACTCCCATCATTCTGGCAGCTTTCGAAGCAAACTCTCTAAGATTGTTTTGAGCTAGTCCTTTAGCTATGAGGGACCAGGATGGTATCGAATAATAACACTATTTCAATTGAACTTTTGCTTTGGAAACTTACCGATACTTATTGTGTTTGTCGACGAACACCTGTCTAACCCCATCCGTCACTNTTTTGAGCTAGTCCTTTAGCTATGAGGGACCAGGATGGTATCGAATAATAACACAATTTCAATTGATCTTTTGCTTTGGAAACTTACCGATACTTATTGTGTTTGTCGACGAGCACCTGTCTAACCCCATCCGTCACTCCGATATTAAGTCCAGGGCAGATTCCACCTAGAGGACCGTTTCTTCCAGACCAATCGCTTAAAACTGGAAAATTCATCTTCTTTTTTACAAGCCTGTCTTGGAATTCGTATCGTAGGGTTTCGCAGTTGTTTTCACTGTTGTCGATGGCATGGCTGTAGCGTATCCGTAGGAATACATAGGGCCTCATCTCTACCACAAGTGCAACCAGTGCATTGGCAGTCTTCATCAGTTGCCCACGGATCCCTATGTCGTAAATCAAGTGGTGGAGCCTATTTCCTCTGTAATTTGATTTTCAGAGAAATGTTTGAAACAGGGACGTTACTTCTGTTGCCTTGACTTACGCAGGGTTGTATTCGCATCCTATAGGTGTCATGCTGGGGCACCATTCAACTGCAAAATCTATTTTGCCTCTAGACTGCCAGGCTACCTGCATAGGCAGTGATCACTTTTTTTGACATGAATCACTTCGTGTAACTTAGTAGTCTGCAATCATCTGTATGTAGTGTCCAACACCGCGCGTGTTATCGCCATTGTCAGAATATTTCCACCGGGCACAACAAACATTTTCAATTCCCGGTACCAAACTTGGACACTCTGAAATTGTGTAACCATCTTCGAAGAAGATGCAATTCGCTCCGAAGTTCTGACATATTTTGCATAATCCGTCTTGCCGAAATTAGTTCCTCCCAGCATCCACAAATTTTTTGCCCCCAATAGTTTCTTTGCTCGGACGGGTCATGTTCAAAGTTGCACCCTTTTGCATATGCGGCTATGACTGCATTAACTTCGCATCTACCTGTAAAACTATTTGCCTCTGAAGATTCTTGAACTTAATCTAATTTCGGTAATTCGCTCGGGAGAATACAGAAGGGTAAATGGAAGAATCATCAGGTAAGCAAGGCTACGATGTCATGCCACTTTTAATAATAAGCTGCTTTCGGAGCAAATCCCCCAAGTTTATTTCTGACCTGACCTTTAGCAATGAAAGATCTGAAAAGCTTGTTTGTGGCACCGGTACTACGGCACTATTGATGTGATGTCTTTATGTTGTCTTTTCGACCTAGGTACAGGCGGCTGAGGCATTCAGAGATATTCATTTCACAGCGTAAAGGGCGCATCAGGAGGTGAAGGAAAGGTCTTCTGTAGCCTGCTCAGAGCCATATCAGATAACCATGCTTCGTTCGTAAAATGCTCCTCGACTTAAGAATTAGACATTTGTTACATGATATTCTCGCTGGTGGCGGGAGTGGCACGGTCAGGGGTTCGAATCTCGGATCGATGCCCGCCCAGACCAACCAAGCCTTCCATCTCTACGGGCTCGGTTAATTGGTACCAGACTCGTCTGGGAGGATAAAAACACTGACTTGAACATCGGCTGGCCACTGCAAGTCATTGTATAGGCCAAATGCGCACTCATTACGCCACTACGATTCTGAATGGAAGTCGAGTGCGGGGGCGCATCCGTCATAAGGGATTGACTAGCGCCAAAACCTTATCCTTTATTCCTCCTCTGACCTTCGTTTAGCAGGAGGTATAGCGAAGCTGCTAAAATTAGTTCCACATATCTACATTCTGTCCATAAGGTCGTTAGTGCTCTGGGACTACTGTTTCTATCGCGCAATATATGGTGCACGTAAACTTCTACTATAGTCAACCTGAACTCCGCTCAATTACAGTCTGCAAGATCACAAAAGAATGTGAGACTGCTAGACAGTGATCGCAGTTCGTATTCGAAATTATGCAGCTTTCCTTCGACAACTTCACAATAGCAGTCATTATGCATTAGCCAAAGAGTCTTCACAGCGTTCATAAAACTGTCATAAATAGCACCATTCAAAGTCTCCAAATCATTTGATATTTTGGCTCATTTCTGTGTTCAAAGGTCTGAGGCAGTAGTTCTTCAAATATGGTGGGTTTGCTGCTTAGATTCTTCCCACGAGCCGACTTTGTTTCCTTCTGTCGCCACGTACTCTTATCTAGCCAGATGTAAAGTACTGGGCGACTCAGGCGACTGAACATAAAGATGTATCCGATTTTCGACCTATTCTTGTGGCGCTTTCCAGCTCCGAACGCTGCCTTATAGTACACACAGTAGGATAGCTCGTCCAAATACCTCTTCCGTGCAACATTTGACGTCGCACTCCCGTCCAACCACTAATTTTACCATTTCATCAGAATGCCTTTTGTTTTACAACATGCTCCAGAATCACAACCAAACTTTGTCTCCAGCAGACAAAAATTCTCACAGCCACTGCTGCTGCACCGAAGCAATGCAGAGCAACTGCGAATGCTCTGAGTGAAGGTTTACACAAAAGTAGAAGTATCATAATGGTCATAATAGAAGCGAGAAAGGTAGTGCTACTAAACATAGTTGCAGTTGCAAATTGATATAGTGATAAGTAGTTTACGCTGGGTTTGACCGCGCAGAGCATCACGTAGACCATCACACTGAAAGACAATTCGACAAACAAGCACATAAATAATAGGTTTATATAATAGAGTAATTGATTAGAATTGGTGTGCATTCCGTGATTCTAAACCTGTACAGCTATCATGTTATTAGCGTCGAAGGGCTTTCCGACGTTTGGCTTCTCAGCTGCGAATTCCTCTTTGTTTATTGCAATCGGACTACTCTGTTGAACCAAGTCATGTTCACATGAGTCATTGACGAGAGAAAGCAGGGATGGCTCAGTCTGTAAAGAAGGCGATGCTCTCCTGATTTGACTACGTCTTTTTAAATCTTAGTAAGAAACTTACTTGCCAGTCATAGGGAACTCTCAAGTTAATCCCTTGTCGAGCAACACTGGCGTAGACCATTTTTCGGATGAACTGGTATCGTGGTCGTTCTTCGAATCTGCAAGTTTCCAGCATCCCTAGCAACGACTAAATGTAAAGAATCACAACTATCACTTGTAAGGTAGTGACTACAATCAAAGATTCTTGCTGATTGCTGTTCTAGCTAATTTCGGCTTAACTTTGAAGAAGTTGCCAAGGACGGCAGAAACTAAGAGTGCTATATTGACATGTCACCAAATAAAGGGAAAATGTCAATGCGGTGGGACTCGTAGTCTCGAAGCTCTCTAGACATGGTGCACTGATGACTGTGGAATTGCTCACTTTACCCTTCCGCTTCCCCTTTAGTTTTTCGCTCCCCTTTCGCTTTTCGCTTACCACGATACATATATTCTCGCAAACACAACTCATGTACTCTGCTTCAACAGCTGGAAAAAGAAATTCTTCTTCCACCGCTTGGCTTCTGCATAAACATGCGCATCGACAGCCCTTATTGGGTTATTATCTCGTGTGACCTTAGTCACCTTAAGAGATGTAATGCTGAGATGCACTTGAATTGGCCCCAGATCTTAATCGGGAACTTCAGAACCACTTTTCGACAAAACTTGTAATGGTGTAGTTACGGCGATTCAACAGAGGTATTGGAATCAATCTGTTGGTAGTTAGTAGAGCACACACTCGTGAAAACACCTCGTTGAACAAGCTGGACAAGTGGACAGTTGAGCTCACGATTAGAAACTAGGTTCAAGGGTATAGCAGTGGGAAATGGTTATCTATGTCACGTATCCCCGTCGCTTTTTTGATTGTCATTTGTCTACATACAATCATCGTGGCTTTATTATATGGTGCTATTCATAATATTTCACTTCACTCTGCTTTTTTTTTAAGTTCCAGGCTTGAAAGGTGAGATCTCACCCGAATGCTCTCCGTGAAGCACTCACAGTTCAGCCAAAAGATGGGACTTTTTCATGAGGGATGGGAAACACATGATGATAAAACCAATCAGGACTTCGTTCGACAAAATTGTAAAGCAGATACGAGATTTGATCTAAGAATTTGTGGTGGTGTAGTTCCTGTTTGTAAGGGTGACTTTGGACCAAGACCCTCTCATGGTGAACATCATTCGTATTTAGTGTTTGCAAAACATGTGACTTGCCATGCAAGATCAATGATGTAATTGAGAAGCTTACCTAGTTGTCGTGATCTTGTTGAATACTGGTGTGAATTCGCGTGGCAAAGTGCTGAGCATTTCCGTTTTGAACGCGCCACGAGCATACTGCTTCCATTCTCGAGTTAGACCATGATCAGGTGTATTTTTCGAATTATACCATGGAAGACAACCTAGATGCATATATTGAACTCCAGTGCTAACGTGGACATAGAATGGAGTTCTAAGAAGTTCTCACACCAAGTATACGAAAAGTTTTAGCTCGGATATCAGTAGACATGCAATCTAGGCACCGATCTTGCTCCCACCTTTGTGACTTCTCTCTTCACTCTTTTTTCAGTTACCGAGCCGTTGTCGTGACTCTTCTGCGTGGGCTCCGGTCAAGAGGTTGCATCGGCCATGGAGCATTGCATTGTCGCGGCTATGGGATTCCTGGTGCCCACCGCACCTAAGGGTAGGTTGAGGGCGTGTGCGAATGCTCGGAGGTGTGATACCTCAGTGTTGACGCGGAGACGAATTGAGGCCTTCCGATCCTCTAACCGAGTTGGTGACGGTCGACGAAGAAGGAAGGAAAATGGATACAAGAAGTCGAGAAAGTAGGCGGACGTCCAAGCTCTAGCAATGCGCGAATTCCGAAAGATACGAAAGCGAGCAGAAGAGTAGAAGCAATGTGAACGAGGAATACGACGGACTAGCATGAGGAGGGTAACCACTTATATGAAATATGCTTCATATAGTAACTCGTAATATAGTGAAAATGTAAAGACCAAACTGGTAGCAAGGGTTAATCGCATAACTACAGGAAAATGACAATGATGAATGAGAGTAAAGAAAGGAATATTGAATAACTACTAGATGTGAGTACGCAACACAAGGGTTAAAACCGATAGATCTACTGAATGTGAACTATTGTATCACAAAGAACTCTAGTGATGTTGTTAAGAATGAAGCTTAACCTAATGTCTGGTATCCTGGCGTATGTGAGTATAAGATATTAGGCGGAAGGCGTTAAGTGGCGGTGCTCCTCGCGTGGATGGATTGTGGCAGAGATGATGTAACTGTGCAGCCAACCGGAATAAAGTACGATGATGAACTGACACGTGGTTGACGCCAAAAGGCTTGCACTTTTGCCTTCTCGAGGCTTCCGCAAGACTTGAATATTAGCGCACCGAGGTTACCTCGCGCCTTGGCCGTGGAGGAGATTTGCTCGAGGCGTGAAAGTCACGACAGCTGTGATCTGGGTTGTGTTTTTCGAAAACCATGAAGTATCCAATGTTATGTATGTAAATCGACCAATCAAGAACTTTAGGTTATATGGGAGTTTCTGATGGAATCTGAGACGTTTCGGAATAAAGACAGCGTATCGCGGCCAGGGCATCGCCATTGCGATTTTATGCCATCACAGAGGTCAGTACCGCTTTTGAGTCGATATCCGTAGTTCGGTCTTTCATATACTCATCCGAAGAGTGGCTTACTTCGAACTGTTAAGATCGAGAGACGTATCATGTAGCATAATTGGTAAATTTCAATTGTTCTTTGTTGTTTTTGCTTGTTGTTTATCAAATTAGGTGTACGCGGTGTATTGGCAGGCGGTACACTATCACAAATGGATGGTCTGCGATTACCTGCCTTTCGTCTTCGGTATCTCATTTGGGAAGAAAAATGCGGGACGCATCTTAGAGAAAGGATCAATTACTGCCGAATTCCAGTTCAAAATCGATTATCCGTCTCCAGGTCAGATAGAATTTCACAAAGACTAGGATTAGGCTATGTCAGGATTTGTAACGTTTCGGCGCTTGTCACAATCTAGATGGGAAGGTGCCTTCTGCCACCGTTCCCTTCAGGCTGCTTTTGTGAAAGGTTCTTCACACCATTGTTCGAGCTTCATTAAATCGAGCTAGTTGAAAGGTGACGATCTGATTGATTTTACCAAGAAAATTGATTACTAATCAAGGAGTTTCATTGTATTGAACATACCAATGAGAATTTCCATGATCATGTAGAACCAGCCTTCCAAGTCGTCTTTTGGCGCTTGGTCTCTCATCGTTGATGACGCCAGCGGTGAGAATGGATACGTACCGACGCATGGCCCCCATGCTCGCCGTTTCAGCAGCGTTCCGTCGACGTTTCTGGAACAGCCGGGCTGAACAGCGTTTAACTGAGCATTCAATGGGGTACCAATCAAGCGACCTCGGAGGAATGGAAGGTACCGACATGGTTGGCCTGGCAGATATCGTCCTGGGATTCGAACCCGTACCTTGCATAGGTGAAGAGCACTACTTGCCACTACTACACCTCCGCCCTCCTTTATGCATACTATGAAAAAAGCGAATCATATTTTCTGACCCTTGGGAATAATCATATTTCATCAGTTGGCCGCTAAACCCTCTTATTTGCTCCACCCTGCCTTGAAGAGCGAAGTCGAGTAGAGTGGTACGTAGCGAGCTGCGTATTCACGTATGTTCCAGGAATCAAAACCTGGTCAGTTCGACCATTCAAACCATTCAGGGGCCACACCATCACTTCGGATCTGTGCGGTGACTCCAGATTCGTATGGTATGAAAGGAAACAATGACTTGTATATGACGGCTTGCCTCACAAGCCAATGTATGTGCCTAATGCCCATTCCAATGTTGCTCCAATTTCGACGAGCAGAGGAGTGCTTATCTTCGGTGTGGGTACTTCTCCACGAAGATCGCAACGCGCTCGCCGCATCCAATCGCGCGCTTGTGGAAGGACGCCAGAACCACCGCCGCGGGAATTCGGGGAGAAGTACCACCACCTCTCATTCCCATCTCAAAAAGAAATTGATCGACTTTAACTAACGAAAAGGGAATTTATAATTTCAAGTTCAACTTTACACCATGAGGCTGTCCCTGATGGCTGAAACTCCTCTCCTCAATTCCTACACCTTCTTTTTGTAATCTCGGGCGACATTTTGCTAACAGCCTTTTGCAACTTTTTGCAAACCTGAACCGTCTCGTCAGCCCAAAATCTAGCATATAGATGATTGATGATTCATGCCCCAGTCCAATTGCGAAATTTGTCGATTTTACATCTCTGAAATCAAGCGAGCACTTCCTCTATCGCAAGGAATGTCAGAACTCCTATAATAGAAAAGAATTACCTGTTCAGATAGCCAGCATCATGTAAATTTTCCAAACGATCCAGTGTTTGGATCGCAATACGATATGCAGTTGCATCGGAGAACCTGGGAAGATTATGTATGTAGCTGTGGGTATCCGACTGTATGCACGGAATCCAATAAAATATACTAAAACGATGAAGTAAGGTAATATGAGGGATAATGTTGACGGTAGACGAGAGAAGAACTGAATAGCACCTCTAATGAGCCCAGAACGCATGGACGACGAAGCTGGTGAAAAGAAGGAATCAAGCCTTCAACTCACTTTTTTGATGGCATTGCCCACATGAGCGCCCTCAGGTCCGGTCCAACCAGACGCATCACGCAAAACTGAAGGCAGATCAATGTTCTCCATAGCCCATCGTTGATTGTTGCCCCCATTTCAGCCCTATTTCAACATCAAAATATTTTCATGGCTATGTAACGACACTCCTCTGGAGTTTCTATTTTCCGATCCGCTACTAGAATGGGATGAGTAAGAAATGAGGTAACGGTTCTGGGCGGTGCTGATGCTAAAAATCACAAGCCTACTGGGTAACCATTATTATCTGCTAGCATATTACCTATAAGGATTGTTAACCCTCAGTCGTTCTCAAGATTTCATTGCGACAAAGACCATCTTCTCTCTAGGAAATTTGGCTTCTGGTAAACTTCTGTTGAATCGTTCCTCCTGAGGGGTTGAAGTGGGAGACTCACAAAACAATGGGAATCAGCCATGTGGTGTGTAGGGAGAAAAACTGCACGACGTAGTACCCTGATATCCGCATTAGAGTAATTTTAACGTTCCATAAACGTGTGATACAGTGACCTTCTGATGGCCCTGGGCTTCACCTCTTCCCTTTCCGTTGCGTCGTATATGTGACGGGTGTTGGGAGGCGATTGAGTGTGTGCTCGGCTTACTGTGTAACACATTCACAGGAGGATCGAATCCGTCTTGTGATATTTGCGCACATTTCCTTCCGCTATTCCCCCAACCTCCTCTTATGTTCCTCTTTGAGGAATGAGGCATAAACAATCTTACTCATTTCGCAGAACGTTCACTTCGCAAAATAGGGCTACCTAAAAGCAAAGAAACTGAAGCTGAAAGAAAAGGCATGGAAGGAATAGCCGGACGAAATTTCATTTGCTGCAATTGCGTAAAGAGAAGACTATACTGAGCCAAAAATGTCCAAAACTGCCTTGCACTATCGCGTTGGGCACGGCTAGTTGCTTGAACTTCTAAGATTGGTGTCCCTTGTAAAAGTACAGCCTCCAGAACTCCGTTGAAACTCGTCCGCCTCTGGGTTTGGCGTACAACATACAACAAATACAATCTTACAGCCCTTATGCCTCTGCCCTCCATTCATTGCCATCAGTGCTATCATCGTCTTTCTATTAGCTTGCCCAAACGAACACTGCAATGAGGACGCCGTGGATATGCTCCCTCTCAAAGAGCAGTAATATGGGAGCTACAAGTGTAACGGCAGCGCGATCTTCATACCACTCATGCGAAACCTCTCGTCTGCACAAACATGTCTGCTCTGCATAAATTTACACCCGAGAAAAAGTGGACCAACCTTGAACAATTCCGTTCTACCCGCGACGATCAGCGTTGGAAATCCTACAGTGTTACGCATTTGTGACAGCACTGCGACATCGAGTTTCAAGATAGGCCTAAATATTCACGAACTCATAAAGATTTCACTTCCAACTCATTTCAGAAGCTTATTTTTTCAGAAATTATATACAGCATGCCCCAAAAACTACTTCAACTACCACAACCATTCGCAACCGTGCCGACTCTCATGTGAATCAAAGAATCGAGGATAAGTTGTGAAACACTCTCTCTCTGTACCACGTTTGAGTACGCATTTGCGGCAATTGAAGACCTGAGGGCTTCTCTTCTTGAATATGTCGCAATAGTTGAGAGAATGAGTTCGAGCAGGCATCTTCTACGAATATGGCTGCGGTTCCAGGGGGTACGGACCATCCACTCAATCCTGGATGGACGCGGCAAACCACACGGAGAATTTCGCGATGATTCACACGACTCTGGGCCATAATTGGGGCACAAACTTGAGGTAGGATAGACAAGTAGCATTCGCTGGTCCCATCTGTCCAAATCACTCAAAACCTGTGCCCCAATGATAGGCGCGGGAGTCGTTCGGATCACCACGAAATTCGCCCTGAGATTTGCCGCTTCTATCCAGATTTGGGTGAATGTACCCATACCCGGCTACAGCGCTCGTTCCGTTACCTCCAACATAAAAATCGAGCACAAGTTATAAAGTATTCATTCACTGCAAATGAGGATTCGATCAGGATTTATATTGATGTGTTCTGCTATGGATAAGAAGGAAGCCCTCTGCTCCCTCGCACGGTTATCCTTCACCCAAGGTTCCGTCAATCCTTTTACAGATGATGAGTATGAAGAGTAGAGACATGGAACAATAGGCATATTCAGTGATAGCGTCCATCCTCTCGCAAAACAGCACAGTCTTAGTCATTTTCCAGGGCTTCGAGTGAGTGCTTCACTGTTGGAGGGAGATCGCCTATAGAACCGAGCCACAGAATGATGAGTGGCTTCAGACCTATATCATCCGCTTACAACAAGCTCAACCCTACTTGGATTTGATGCTATGACATTTCTAGAGACATAAGATTATGTCGGTCTTCAGAGAAAAGAATTGAATCGATGGTCATTCATCCATTTTCAAGTGAGGTGGTAGGTTGATCATAGAGTGATTATGGAGGTTGTAAGTTTCCAAAATTCCAGATTCCGAATAGTTACTCGTATAATTAGAAGTTAATACAAGAGGTCCACTCACCTTTCACAACCATTTTGTTTTTCCACTTTCATCGCATATAATTTGCGCTTGTCATTAACGTCGCGAAGCTTGAAGAATACATAATCTGCCCGCTTTCAAAGCATATGTAACTCCATTAACTGACCATGTACACATGTGAGAAGACACCTTCATGTATAGTTTTGAGCACATTCCATTCATGTCCGTTGAACGATATCGTGGTTCCTGGCTACAAAATCGACGTACATACATTTTGGAACGATTTCTTCATAATTTTTTGCCTACCTTAGGTAGTTCCAATTCCTCGCTGTATAGCATTTATGGAGTGTATGTATCTGCTGTCACTGAAAGGTTCGTTCTCAGAGTGAGCCCATTCGTGTTTAATCGAAAACAGAATTTGTTTCTTGAACGACAGTTGACGGTAAGGTGCGCCTAGTAGGCCATACGAACTGGGGGAGTGATTGAACGAAGCAAGATGAAATATCAGGGCATTGTACATAGCTCACACTACATTCGTACCCTTCCACAGTAAGATGTTCCTATCGGTAGGTATCCTAGACATGACCAATGACAATCAGCGTTGAGATTACAGATTCGCGTCGAGCAGATGACGACGGCGGCCAATTGTTCATCTTATCCCTTTCAATTTCGAGACAAGGCGCTCAAAGGTGATCCTAATTTCAAACGAATAGTTGATGATGACCGGCTCTCGAAGATGTGAAAAAGAAGTCAGTGCTCAATAGCAGGGTGACTCTTGCTCGATTATTTCTGCACACTTGTGACTCAATCAAACAGTATGTCCTTCTTAGCCTCATTTTGGAATAGTTTCTGGAGGAGCCGGTGACAAGAGATGAACTATGTATCCTCTCTGACACCAACAAGAAGGTCACTGTTGGTCCTTCAAACGGAGAAGATCTGTCCGTGCAACCATACCCCAAAATTAGAAGAAGGTGTTGCTCGTGATACTTGGAAAATCCTGTACTATGAGTTGCTCATTCGAGGTCAGACAGTCACAACTACCATTTGCAGCAGTCAGCCCCAGGAGCTCGTCCATGCAACTGAAGAAAGTAAGACTTGAGACAAACTTTTGTCTGTCTTCTGCATGATATGGCTAGCCCTCACGATGCGAAAACCCCACATTGTGCAAGTTACAGAAATTTGGTCCAAATACTGTTGCTATTTTTGGCAACCTCAAAAAAGCTGTGATTGATCGAAAATGTTGTGACTGATTTCTTTGACCCATACTTTCTACAAGAAGAGAATAGCCAGGTAACCTGCTCGTTGTGCGATTGTCATAGAAAATGAGCTGATCAAACAGTTCAGTGACCATGACTCTAAATTTAGTGAAGAATTTTAAAAGTGCATCTAGTGCCTCGACACTTTTGCATAATCGAGTATAACGCCCTTTACCGATGCACTGTACTTCACGGATAAAAATCGCGGTGATAGAGCTGATTCTCTCAACGACCAAACATTGCGGATATTTTCGTCAAGCTTCATGTTTGAATAGCTTTTAGATGACCGCCCAATAATTATATTTGCTCAGTCTGGGCGATGTCATTTAAAAAGCCGACCTTTGACCATAACGGAGACAGCAATGTCTGTATTCGAAATTGTCTGCTTGATTGCGGTCTTACAGGTCAGTTTTGCATAAAGTGGCGTTCTACCACAGCGGAAAGGGTTCGTAATCGACGATGATAATTCATGAGCAATGGTTGACAACATATATGCGCTGCCAACCGACACTTGGTGCTGAGTTTCCAACCTAGAACCGCATTAACTCGCGAACCACAGCCCACTGCTTACTTCAACGGTTATTTTTTTAGAAGTAGATGCATGATGAGGAATTTCATATCTATAGAACAAAATCTCTATGCCTTCTGAATGCAGTCAATTGCAAGTGTACCCGTCATGAAAAGATTTAATGGAATCTTCGCTAGGCTTATGGATTCGAGTAATTAAATGGCCTAGGAGTACATAATGCAGTTGCGTCGTGATGGAAATCCCTCATTCCCTTAACCGGGCAAAATGCGAATGCAATAGCCACCTGCAAAATTCTGAAACATCCCCACTGCTTTAGTTTACCTTCTCAGGCGATTTCCGGACTTCTGCAGCGACTCTGGTCGTCAGGTGACAGATCGCTGCTTACTGTTCTTGCCAGTAAAGCGCTGTTTGGGAACTCATTTTAGAACTCATTTGAAATTGGAGCGGTTTCATCACGAACATAGTTTCATTCGATAATGCTTCAGAAGTAAACGCATGAGTTTAGGCTGTTGCTCTGAGCTCAGCGGAGGAACTGTTCGAAGGTTCGTACGAATACGACGATGATGAAACGACCACTACGACCAAAAAGGTTGAGTCCTGCATAGACATATTTGAGTGTTTTTACTTTCACACTTCGAGATAGGTTTCTCCGAATGCCCAACAGCTTGAATGACGTTCACCGAGCTGTTTACTTAAGTTACTTTTGTAAATGTCATGCAACTGCTGTGGCATCATTGACAGCCTCCACAGGTCCTCCAGGGAATACATACTAGGTGACAATAGAATATTGTGGAATGAGAGAATCAAAAAAGTGAGGGAGTCTAAGGAGAAAAGGGGATTTCTCCGATTTGTCCGTTCTCTATCTAGCTAGCAGACTTCACGTTTTCTCGAAAAATCATGAACATGGCCAACTTCTTGATGGCTTTGGTCATTGCGCATTTTTTTAGAAATGAAAAAAGCTTGAAACAAGCTAAATCATTTCATATGAGCCTGTTACTGCTTCTTTAAACAACACTTCCTATATCACTATACACTTAAAAATGGAGTGGACATCAACGGGGTTCAAAGCCATCACCCTACCGCATGTACTGCTTCTTGGGATCTGGTAAATGAGGGCTTTGCGATACTAAAGCAAACTCACCTGTTTTGAAGAAATAACTAACTGAATACGACCACCCTGCATGAAGATTAACAAGCAACTTTTGAGTAATCAACCCATGCTTAGTCTTCCATACACATCCATCTTGAGCATAATGGTTTTGTTAGCGGTCGCTTAGGCCTTTTGAATATGAACTTGACCGTTGGGTTTTCAAGATATACCAATGCACTTCCTCACCTCGGCAACTATGTACAACCTAATTTCGATATTCCTATATTTTATTTCGTATGTTTTTTCTTCCAAAGGGACTATATACTGGGCTCATTGAAAAATTTGGCTTCAACTTCGAAAATTCTCAGGGGTGTTCCACTGTTACTGCATACTACTAATAGCAGATTCTACTCCTTCAGATCATGATTGGGGATACGGAAACTGAACAGTAGCTATCTGCGTATTTCAATTTCGAAATGCAATTTCAATGTCGTATGAACGCTATTATCTCTGAATTCTTCTCAAAGCCTATCACGAGCATTACTCTTCCTTTTAGCCAACGCCTTCACCTGCTCGTGATCAACAATTCCAATGCAACGATATGCCGTCTTTTGGATTCCTAAGCTGCAGTGAAAGGCGTCATCTTTGCGACAACCCCTTGTATGAATAATTTGTGTTGAAATCTTACGCTATATCTTCGATTGAGATTTCAGCTTCTCTATCGTCATGAAAATGCAGTGTGCACGAACTTGTGGAATGTGCGGAGATGCGCCAATTCTTCAAAGGGATCAAGGTAAAAGAATGAAAACATTTTAAATCTTTCATACCTTCAGGGAAGCTTCCGAAGGTAGGAATTGTCCATTCCGCAATGTCTCTTTCTGTTTGGTTTGTGCATTGCAGTTTTAAAAAAGGAATCGCCATAGTACGCGATGTTCAACTGTGTATGTATTAGGCGATTTTTCATGCAAGGTCTCACTGCCATTTCGATCACGTTTTGCCAAAGTACCTTTCCCACATACATGCCATATGACAATGCATTTTCTTCAACACAGACGATAACTTACATCACCCCTCTGTAACGCTTATAGTTCCTTTCTCTGATTTCACTCCTTCTCCATATATTAAGTTTCCGCGACATATTTGACTGCGACCGCAGAATCCCTCAATTCACTGCTGAAGCGATTCCAAGCAGCAGAATTGAGCGCGTTCTTGCACACACTTGGTTTACAGCATTGCTCCCTGCTGGTTATCGTGAGTACCTAAGATGTTCGCCCGAATTATCACCCATGGAGCTCCACCAGCGACCAAATCTGATACTCTGATACTGCCATGTTCTTGTTTGTTGTCTGGTGTGTGTAGAGGTTTTTGTCTTTAATCAACTTACTTAGCGTCATGCCTACCTTTCATTATTCAAATACGATAACCCTTTTCAAGCATATGTCCCAGTGATTGTTGTGGAAAACGCAGTTTCCACTCAGTGACGATTTCGAATTTAGCAAGAGATTTGGCTGTTTACTAAGAGCTCAGATTGTTTGAATTCTACCTGAAACGATAACACAGATAGAGCATTGTGCAGTCTGTTTATTTACCAATCTATCACTACATGCGTTATACTGAGGGAAAAACAGTTATTTAAGAAAAGTTTCATTTGGAAGAAATTCTCAAATTTCAGAATGTACTGATGGCAAGGATATCTTCGGTTTCGACAATTGTGCGTTCAGAAAGGCCTTTTGTGATTCTCCAGACTTATTCCTACGTCGACAAACTCAGCAAGACTGTCCGAAATCATGCGGACTGTGTAAATGATGTGACGTCTTGATGTATTTATTGCCGAAATCGAACTAAAATTGAATAAACTGACTCTCACTTGCTGATATTGATTTCCTTGAAGAGATGATGAACGTACTCATCTTAAACGGCGTCTAGGTGTATTGACTGCATATTTATAAGAAATAAGGTCATCTGCTGATCGGAGTTGAAATTGAGACCCTAAAAAGTAAATAACAAACTGAACAATCTCCACGGAGTAGCTCGAACGCACTACACTGTTGGGCAATAGAGAACACGAGGTGATGTCTTCTGCTCACACAGTGGTATACGATGCTGAAGCAGTAATTATCTCGGTTACCACCCACCCGAGAAAAGTTCAGAAGGAGGTATTTTGCAAGCAAATTCTCTAGTACCGTTCTTCCATACTCCGACTCAAACAGGACGCTGATGTGATACTCCGAAGCAGATAACCAGATGTTATCTCTTATATGTGTATGGCAAACCTCGTGAGCACCTGCAGTGAG